CGGTCTGTGGCGGGGTGGGGTACAAAAATACAAGTTTGCCAGGGTACCATTTTCCCTAAGGGCAGCTCTGGGTGTGGGTGTATATCAATACAACCTGCACCCTAATGACTGCAGTATAGCATAGTAAAGACACATGAGCTAACTTATTTAAAAAGTTAGCTGAGGTACCAATAGTAGTCTGGTTGCAGCAGGTTTCTTGAGCAGGTAAAAGCCACTTTGGTGATCTCTTCACTAAACTGCAATCATTGGAGTGAATGCAGTGTTGACATATCATCAGATAGATTTCCAGCTGGAGACAATACTAAAGTGAAGGTCACCTTGGAGCTGTAGGGCAGGAAACCTTATCCTGGCTCCCTTTAGCTTCACTCTTGGACCAAGAGCTAAAGGAGTCTAGCCAAATTCAGGGGATCATGGCATAACAGAAAAATGAGAGCCCCAATTTAAATGAGCTAAGTCCAGCTAAGCCTTTGTAGAGAATACTCTGAATTTTACCTGTAAGTAAATTGGATATTCACATAAAAGCAAAGAAGTTACTGTTTTGAAGTCAACATTCCCCAGGACACACATATCGGAACTGGTTCTTCAGGTTTAAGTGACTGGTGTGCTAACCTTGTATACATCTACACACGCCCATACTAGTCTCTTTCTAAACCACAAGTAGAGAAGGTGTGATTTTATTTGCTGGAATACCTGCAGAAGCAGTAAGCCTTGCTCATAACAATAATTATTAGGGAAGTCTTTTATTTGCTGAAATATTTGCAAAGATGATCAGTTTTGTTTTCCGAGTCATTGGATTCTAACTGCTGAATGAATGGAGTCAGGATTATTTGGGCAACCACCAGATTTGTGAAAATGTTCATAAATCCCCCCAGTACTGCTATTTTTTAAAGCCCAAATAGTTATTCTTTTGTAAATGTTACAGAGGTGTTATGTCATTCATCCTCTAGTTTTAAATTCAGTCTTCCATTCACAGAGAAGAAGCACTGCCATAGTCTGCCAAATGTGTTTATATTAGTACGTATTAATGTATTTGGCATTAGAAGTTTCTTTCATCAAGTGAATAAAATAATAACAAGGTCCAGTGGCTGGTAGTTGAACATAGAAAAATCAGATTAGAAATGAGGTGCACATTTTTTACAGTACGGGAAATTAGCTACCTGTTCATGATTGCAGTGGACTCTTCATTAATAGCATTTATTTTAAATTTTGAATTTCAATATTGGATGTTTTTCTGAAAGGTATGGTGGTAATTTAATCAACACTATCGGGCTTAAAGCAGGATTTCATTCAATGAAGTCATGTAGTGTGTATTATGTAGGACAGATTAGATAATCACAATGGTCCCTTTTGACCTTAACATCTATGAAGTAACAATGGCCTTTAACTTTCAGTAAAAAGTGATACTATCTGAAAGTTCAATAAAGTACAGCACCCTGTATTCATGAGAATACAAGAGGGAAAGATGTGTGTTATTAAGTTATTTTCATGTACCATTAGTACTCCTGCACTTGACAAAAATATGCCTTGAAAGCAAGACTTAAAAAAAATGAATATACAGTAAAACTATTTTCACAGAATATGTACATTATCAATTATTGTTCATGATTGGAAAGTTAGTCTATTGAAAATGAGATTAAAAAAAAGAGTTGCCCCACTTCTCTTATCCTCAACATCCTAACATGATAATGAAAGAAAATATTAATTCTTTTAAACAGGTACCTATATATTGCATGTAATTCTATAAATGCACTTATACTGCTAATGAATTAAATTTAACTAAACTTACCCAAAGCCAAAATTATTAAAGAGGAGCTCAGATATCACCATGAGGGAGGTAATAAGTGAATTTCTGTTGTGTCTGAGTTCTATTGCATATCCTGGTCAACAGCCTATGACCAGTGGGCAGGATCTGGCCTACAGAACCCAGAGTTTTGGTGGCATTTCAGCTACTAGGAGCTTCTGTGAGAGGCTTCTGTGTGGGCAGCTTCACTTGCGCGATGGCCAAGCAATAGAGTCAAGTGGCAATGTCACTGTGATCGGGAACAGTGACTGGGCCACAACGACACCAGTAGGTATGATGCAGGCCAGATTGGCAATAACTTGCATTTGGAGCAAAGTGCTGCTAAAGCATCCCCTTTGCTACAAATGTTGTGACCCCTGCTATAAACCACAGAGGTGACTAGAGAAAGCACCTAGCTAAACCAATATGCAAACACAGCTGGTTGATGTTTGTTGACAAAGTGTTTTCATGAGGAAATAGGGTTGGGTTAACTCCAATTTTGAAACAAAAATACTTTCCACATTTGTGTTGAGCCTAGAATAAAGATAGGCAAACCCTGGGGAGTTTGAGGCTTGGGGAATCTTGCAGACTCTTTTGATGTCCTTCCAGTCCTACTTTTCTATGATTCTACAGTTCATTTTCACAGTCTCCTGTGAACTGAATGAAAACCATATTTACCTGAATCCAAGATGACTCTGAATTCAAGATGACTCGCAGGTAATTAGATTACTTAAATGGAAATGATAAGTTTATTATTATTTTCCATGTATACAATCTAATTGTCAGAGTCATCTTAAATTCATCCCACTGCTGAAGCCAGGCAATCAGTGGGGGGTGGGGGGCAGGCAGGGGCGGAAATGATGAGGGGCAGGCCGTGGGAAAGTCAAACAACCCTTGTCACCTATCCTCCACACCACTTGGCCCCCTCCTTATGGCTGTCCCTCTGGTACCTGCTCTGCCTGCTATTTGCACCCCCCATGCCTACACCCCAAGCACCTGCCCTCCCCACAGTGCCTCCCTCCATTGTCTCCTTGTCTGCTCCCCCATCTTCCTCCCCACCACTGCCTTTATGCCCCCCTGTCTGTCCCCACTACTGTCTCCCCCCATCCCCTTCTAGCTTCTGTCCAGAGCTGGCCTTAGGAAAAATGGCACCCTGGGCAAACTTGTATTTTGGTGCTTATCCCCACCTCAAGTCAGCAGTACTTGTGCTATGGGGAGCAAGGCAGGCATACTGGAGCAGGTGCCACCCAGCCTGCATGTGCCCAGCCCAGTTTCCCCTGAGCAGTAGCTAGAGGTGAGGGATAGGCTGGGCTGGGCGCTGCTCCTCCTGCTTGGAGTGGGGATCAACTTGGGTGGGGTGGGGGAAGAGTGCTACTGTGAGTGTGGGCTGCTCACACATGTGTCTGAGTGTTTGGTGCCTCCCTGACCATGGTATTCTAGGCGGTCACCCATGTTGCCCACCCCTAAGGTCAGCTTTGCCTACACCACTGCTGTTTCTCATCTGGCTCTGGCAGGCTCAAACCTTACTCCAACCCCAGCCTTGACTGGCAATAGCTGCTGCAGTAGCAGCAGCTCCAGCTGGGCCCTAAAGGGCAGATGGGCAGAGGCAGTGGGGGGCAGGCAGCAGTTGCAGCTTCTATCCCAACCTCAGGTTGGAGTCAGAGCCAGAGCCAGAGCTAGAGTTGCCATCGTCTTCACCCCTTGCCTTCCTCCCCCACCTCCTTGTACTCAATTCCATGATGAGGGCCTTTCCCCTCTGTATTAAATGGGGAAAATCCTTGTCTTGGAATCAAGTAAATGTGGTAGATTCATAATTAGGCCATGTGAGTTGAACAATTCTATTTGAAAATTTGAAATTTAAACAGAAATTTCAAGTTTGTGGTTCTGGTTGGAGTGACAGTTGATTTCAGTGCCTCTCAGGTGAAGTACAGCAATAGAAATAAATCAAAGTAAGCTAGAGAGAAGGGACTGCAGGACCAGAAGCAGGCACATTTGCTGCCATACTGAAGGATAAAATAATACATAATTTTAACTATCTTTAATTTTGAAAGAATTAGGGGCCATCTGCTATTCTCTGGACATTATTAAATGAGAAACTGGAAGCATAATGGCCAATACATTTTTAAATTGTCATAAATCTTATTCCTTCTCCTTCCTCCAGTGTGTCTGATGATATGGATGACAAGCGTTCAAATGAAAGGTATTTCCACTGAAGTAAAATATCGAAGCTGAATTTGTTTATCCAAACCAGGAGTTTCTGACTTTGGAGCTTCCAGGACCTCCCCCTGGCACCCAGTGTGGGGAGTGGCAGCCAGTGGGGATCCCATAAGCTGCAAATTAACCCTTCCCATGCCACCCATGGGCCATGAGTTGGTCATCCCTGATCTAAACTTTGGGTGTCTATATTTAGCATGTGCTTACTACTTTAAAGGGGAGAAGCAGCCTGGCCAGGCTGCTCAGAGGGCTAGGCGGAGCTATAGGGTGCCTGAGCAACAGCCTAATAGCCCCAGCCAAACCACCAGTTTTAAACAGCAAACAAAAACACAAGCCCCTGGGCTATAACATAAATCCAAGCCACCCGGCTGTAACATCATTCAAGCCATACCAGGGGTGTTCCATCCCTCACCAGTATCAGAGGCTGTACCTGCAGTCAGGCCTCTCCTTTTGCTTTCTCTGGGAGAGCTCCTTCCTCCTTGGCTGCTGGTAGGGAACTGCCTTCCTGGCCTCAGCCCCCGGCTTTATATACGAGCCAGTCCCTGCCCCTTCCAGTCAGCCGACCGCTGGCAGGTGTGGGCCACTAGCTCACTCTCGTTGCCCTGGTAACCAGCAGCTGGGGCCTCCAACTCACTGCTAGGGCTCTTTCCCTAGCAGTTTCCACTCTTTATAGGAGCTTACTCATTACATCAAAGACATGGCAGGAGAGATAGGTGGGCACTGGCAGACTGCCCAGATAGGTGAGAGGGTTGTTGTTGTGACTGACCTTGAAACAGTGCACCTATCATCCGAGGTCCCTTCCAGCCTTACAATCTATGGAAAAAAACTGTCACACTATACATGTGCTCTGGGGTGCAGGGGGTGGTGGGGAGAGGAGAGGGTTGGGAGCCACTCTAATTAAAATGCCCATTTCTTATACTGACATTTTTTTTTTGAGAATAAACCCATCATCTCAACAACTATAGAATTGTTCATTTAGTTCAAAGATGCACAGACATAGGCAACATAGCTATGCCTTTGACTTTAATCAAAAATGGTACAAAAGCAGAGGAATTGTGCTAGTTAACCTGATTGTAAAACTATAAATTATGTCCTAAATAAAGGTGTCCTGATTAGGATTCACTTGGATGAAAAGCATAGTGCAGTTAAAAAAAATAAAGTATCTTCATTGTTATCATTAACATGATGCACATTAGGTCTCCCTGATGTTCTCAGCCAGAAGAGCTACATGTAATTTATGAAGTACTGGTGTTCATCCATGTCAAATGCTAAAAAAAGACAATGTAGATCATTACTAAATGTATTTTGAGAGAGCACATTTCACGACTTCCAAAACCCATTCTGTGATTAGTTGCATAAAATACACCACAGCAGAGCTTGGTTTTTAGCAGGAAAAAAATGGAAACACAGTGAACCCCAATATACAGTCCCAAAGTAAACAGTCCCAAAGTGCTTTTCTAACTCAAATAGTTGTCTGAAAAACTTTTAACCTAAGAGTGGAAGTGGCAGTGCAGACAGATGTATCATTTGTAGTGGGACAAGTTGTCATAATGTTTGAATCGGAATCAAAATGTAGCACTTCAGGTGCAGACACACATCCTGCTTGAAAGTGTTACTCAGAGAGCAGGAGCATACAGGAGCCCAGTCATTGGAGGTTTCTGAGGATTTCTGAGCAGGGAGGAAAGCACTGATTAGATAGCTGCACAGGAATCCCACCCTCTGCCCCTGTGCTGGAAGTTCTTGATCACTTTCTGCTTTGGGCAGCTCATCAGTTGTGCTGCTAGCTCAAAGAGTGCCGAATGGACCCATATCACTGCCTCACCTTGCACACTCTAGTCACCCAGTGGCAAGAGCTCCCGACCCTGCTGCATTTCAGTCTTGCAAAGCTGCAACCACCCATACTCAAGCTGGCTGTAGAAGACCACATGGCCAAGAACATGGAAAGATGCCTCCATCATCTGCACTTCTTTTTTCCCCACCAATACCTTCATGTCAGATAAGTCTGAGGCCACACGGTGCACCATAGAATCCAAGCTGCAATGGGAATAACTCCAAACTATGTACCAATATTTCTGGTCCAGAGAGACAAATAGAAACTGATGGGAACACAATAGTCTGGCCACATGGACTGAAGAGTAGTGATGGATGAACTTTTGTATATCCTGTAACAGAGAACCTTAACTGTATTATAGGAAAGAGAGGTCCAGTGAAGAAAAGTCAGCAGGGCCCCTTTAAAGCCAGAACTTTTGTAGCCCAAAGGGGGAAAAGGGATTATCTGCAGCAGAGAAAAGCCTGTTTGGAGCAGCCAGAGTGGTAGAGCTCCTGGCTGCCAGGTGGGATACCCAGCTAAACAGGAGGAGGTAAGCTATCTGCTGGAGGTAAAAGCAAAGATCTCTTCAGGAGAAACAACTGGTACTGAGCTATGGACTCATTCCTACAGAGCCAAGCTTGCAGACAGCCAGCAGGAGAACACAGAAGCAAAATGGGAAGGGGAGATTAGCAGCACCTGGGTCATGTGAGCAGGTAGCCTGGTCAACTGACCAAGGGAGGGGGTCTGATTGGGATATAAATTCTCCTTCTGGGTAGAGGGGAGCTGCCTGGACCTGGCAGCAGATAATGATGGACCTCTCCAGGGAGATGGGGATGAATGCAAGCTCAGTGATAGGAGCTGTTAGCTTGTCTCCAAAAGTTTTGTTTCCTGTTTATGATGTAAACAATCATCACCTCCTCTGATTTGCAAAGGTATTTTGGCAGAAAGGCTTGTCACTTCTGTAAATCTCACAAAGTATCTTCTTCCATCTTTAGGCATCTGACTGCCCTTGTAGGTCTGACTCCAGGTGATACCTGGCCTATAGATCCACTCCTTGGCTTGTCGTAAACATGCCTTTTATTCCAGATATGAACTAGATATCCACTTCATCATATCAGCTCTTACATCTTTTGGGGATTACTGCTCAGCCTCTTCATCCTTACGTTTGACAACAGGGACTGTCTGGGTCAGGATACAAGGGGAATCAGGAGAGGGAGACCTAATGGTGGGAGTCTAATATAGGCCTCCCTCCCAAGAAGAAGAGTGTGATCAGGCATTCTCTGGAGAACTGACTGAGGCAACTAGTACTAGAGACATGATTGTCATGGGTGACTTCAACTACACTGACATCTGTTGGGAGGACCATTCGGCCACCTCCAGCAGGTCAGCCAACTTCATGACTATAATAAACTATCTGTTTCTGATATGTTGTGGAAGGGCCACTCTGGATTTAGTGCTGACCAAATGGGAGGACATCATAGGTGACCTGAGGATTGGTGGTACTCTGGGTGACAGCGATCGTGACCTAATCAGGTTCACCGTCCACCATAGGACTGGGAGATCAGTTAGTAGAACAGGAGTGCTAGATTTCAGAAAGGCAAACATTGGCAAACTCAAGAGGCTAGTTGGAGAAGCCCTGTGTGACCAGTGACTGGATGATTTGGGAGCTTAGGAACAGTGGTGTTTCCTTAAGGAGGCAATTCTCACTGCTCAAAAATAGGCGATCCCTACATGGACAAAAAGCAGGAAAGAAGGCAAGATACCCACTTGGCTTAACAGAAATATTAGGGAGCTATTGAAAAAGAAAAAAGAAGCATACAAGCAATGGAAGAAAGGTTCAGCAACCCGAGAGGAATATACCTATTTCACCAGGGCCTGCGGATACGAGACACAGAAAGCCAAGTCAGGCATGGAGATCAAGCTGCAACTGGAATAAAGGACAACAAAAAGTCCTTCTGTAGATACATAGGAAGCAAGAAAAAAATTGGGCTCCACTGTGGGACCCCCTACTGAATACTCAAGGACAGCCCACAGTCAGTCTCCACAAAAGGCAGAACTCCTAAATACATACTTCATGTCAGTATTCCTGAAATCAAAAGGGGGCTGTTCACCTGACCAGAGGCCCAGGGAATACAGGGAACACAACAGACTACATGAAATCAGTCCCAAACGAGTGAGGGATCTCCTACAACACTTAGATGTTTTCAAGTCTGCTGAGTCAGATGACCTACATCTGAGAGTCCTGAAAGATCTAGCTGAGCTTATAGCAGTGACACTGGCAAAGTTGTTTAAAGAGCTGTGGAACTCAGGAGTGGTCCCGGACAACTGGAAGTGGGCCAGCGTGGTGTCCATCTTTAAGAAAGGGAAGAGGGATGACTCTGCAAACTACAGACTGGTCAGTCTGACTTCAGCCCCGGGTAAAAAAATTTTAAGAATTTTTTTAAGGAGGCCATCACAGGCTGGTAACTGATTGGGTATTAAGAAGCAACTGGCATGGCTTTGTCAAATAATGCTTGACAAACCTAGTGTCCTTCTAGGACCAGGTAACTAACCATCTGGATGAGGGACACGAGGTTGACGTGTTTACACGAGGGACACGAGGTTTACTTAGACTTCAGTAAAGCCTTTGATTCTGCTTCCCATGGGATTCTCTCAACCAAACTGGAGGGTAATGGGCTGCACTAGTCTACAGTGAGGTGGGTGGACAACTGGCTTAGAGGCCAGTCCAAGAGAGTTGTAATCAATGGGATGGCCTCATCCTGGAGGACCATCTCCCATGGTGTCCCCCAGGGATCGGTGCTTGGACCCATGCTCTTTAACATTGTCATTAATGACTTGGATGAAGGGATGGAGAGCTCAGTGATTAAGTTTGCAGATGACACCAAGCTGTGGGGAAACACGGGCACATCAGAGGATAGGGCAAAGATCCAGGACGACTTTGACAGACTGGATTTATGGGCTGAATGAAATCAGATGATGTTTAACAGGGAGAAGTGCAGGGTTCTTCATCTGAGTAGGAAGAACCTACATCCTGAGTAGGAAGAACCATAACTACACGATGGGTGGTAGTCCACTGGCTGGCACAGCATCTGAGCAAGACCTGGGGGTCATGACAGACCAGAAGATGAACATGAGCCAACAGTGCAATGAGGTTGCCAGCAGGGCAAACTGAACTCTGGCGTGAATCAACCAATGTATAGCCAATAGATCCAGGGAGGTGCTCCTCCCTCTCTATTCGACATTTATGAGGCCACAGCTGGAGTACTGTGTCCAGTTCTGGGTGCTGCACTTCAAGAACGGATGTGGATAAGCTTGAGAGGGTACAAAGAAGGTCTACCCATATGACTAAGGGCATGGAGGATAGGCCCTATGAGAAGAGACTCTGGGAACTGGGCCTGAATAAGAGAAGGCTGCTAAGTGACTTGATGGCTGCCTACAAGTACATGAGGGGTGAGCATCAAGACCTAGGGGAGCAACACTTTAGGAAGCTACCTCAAGGTAGGACAAAGACCAATGGCCATAAGCTGACAGAGGGTAAATTAAGGCTGGACATAAGAAAAAACTTTTTCTCTGTAAGAGTCACCAGAATCTGGAACACATTCCCAGCAGAGGGGGTGCAGTCACCAGCCTTGGGGAGGTGTTCAAGATGAGGCTGGACAAGCACCTTGTTGAGCTTGTCTGAGCCCAATAACTTCCTGCCCATGGCAGGGGACCAGACTTGATGATCTTACGAGTCCCTTCTGGTTCTCTGATTTTATGATTCTATGATCCTATCTTGCATATAGTTCATCCTTGACCTGGTAGTAGGAGCAACCTTTTATGATTCCATAGACATCCTCGTCTTCACTGGAAGTCTCTACATGCTCAGTCACTGCCCTGTACTGCTACTTTTTTCTTCTTGGGTTGGCTCGGGCATCAGGATGTAAAGTGATTCTGTTTTTTAAACCCCCTTTCACCAGTGCCCATAAGCTGCAAATTTTTCTTTCCACCTGTCATGTTGTCTTGCACAGTATATACACCAGACCATAACACTGGCATTTTGGTCAGTCTCTCTGTTCTCCTACCTGAGTTCATTAGAACTTTTTTTTTTCATTGTACCTTTTTTGCACAAGCGGTCTTCATTATTTGCACCCTTTTATTTCAGCTGTCCTTGCTATTTGGGGGCATTTCTCTCAAGTTAAATCTTTTCCTCTTAACAGTCCCTTTTCCAAGCCAGAATTGTGTGTTCCACAAAGGATCCATTTTTTTCTAATTAAGGAAATCTAATGTGTCCAAAGTTGAATGTGAATGCCAGACCCTGCAACTATAATCTCTTCTGTTCCTTGGTTTGAAGTAAAAAAGTCAATATGTCTCTACCTTCTCAGTCTTTCTGTTGACACAGTAATTATTAAATGTCTTTATCAGCTGTTGGAGTGTCTTGGGCATCATTTCCACCAACCATCTCATTTGCTTCTCATC